CACACACAACACAATACACACCACATACACCACACACACTAGACACACCACAACACACATCACAGATGACACACACACACAAACAACAACACAACCACACACCACACACCACACACAATACACAACACACACTCCACACAATATACTCCACACACCACATACAACACACACAACACAACACACAATGCACACCACATACACTGCACACAACACACACCACACACAAGACACAATATACAACACACACTCTACACAATGCAGTACATACACCACACCACACACACCACACACTCCACACAATACACAACACACACCACACATGACACACACCGCACACACGACACACACCACACACTCCACGCATACCACATATACCACACACACCACACACACTACACACAACACACGACACACACACCACACAATGCACACCACATACACTGCACACAGCATGCAACACACACTCCACACAATACACTACACACACCACACATATGACACACACACTACACAATGCACACCACATACACTACAACAACCACATACCACACACAGCACACATACCACACACACCACACACACCACACATACCACACACAGCACACATACCACACACACCACACACAGCACACACACCACACACAGCACACACAGCACACACAGCACACACACCACACACAGCACACACCACACACACCACACATACCACACACACCACACACACCACACACAGCACACACACCACACACAGCACACACCACACACACCACACATACCACACACCACACACACCACACACAGCATACATACCACACACACCACACACACACACACATACCACACACAGCACACACACCACACACAGCACCACACCACACACACCATACACACCACACACCAGCACACACACACACACACACACCACACCACACATACACACCACACACCACACACACCACACACACACCACACACACCACACCACACCACAATACCACACACACACCACACACACACACACCAGCACACACACACACACACACACCACACACAGAAGTCTGGTCTGGACGGAGTCCGTTTTCTCCATTCCTCTAAGTGCTGGAGGGTGAGGTCTCGGCCGCCTTCCGTGCACCCCCCTTGACATCTGCTTAGGGCCTCGCTGTCGTGGGAGCCCCATCAGCCTTCCTGGGGCATCGGGCCCTGCACCTTCTCCTGTGGAAGCTGTGAGGGTTTCTGCCCCTTTGGGTGGGGCTGGTGAGAGTGGTTTCCAGGATCCCTGGATGGCAGTGTTGGGCGGCTCTGCGAGTCACTGGGGAGGACACTGTGAGCTGCTCAGGGCAAGAGCCCGTGCCAAGGCCCCACGGCCCTGCGTAGGTCCCACAAGGGCCAGGTGTTCTGGAGGACGGGCATCAGGCGGGCCCCATCCACTTGCCATCCAACCCTGGATCCCACGACCTCACCCACGGTGGGGGAGTAACTAAGGGAGTGGAGCACAGGCAGAGCACGGGCACAGGCAGCCACACTCGCTGGGCACCCAGCTCGAGGTTGGCCCTGCCGGGCCCACGGCCTCACCACTGAGACCTCGTTCCCTGAAGCTCGTGTGGCCCTGACGGGGCCCCAGCTCTCTGGGCCTGTCAGGCACTGGGGGTGTTTCTCTGAGGCCAGTGGCCCCACGTCCCTGCCCAGAGACCGTGGGACCCCTGCGGCCCCACAGGTGCCTCGAGTCCGACGTGGCCCGTGGCTTCGGAAGGTCTCTGTGCAGCCCACGTGCAGCCTGTGAGCTGAAGGCTGTCTCCCGGGCCGCCCCTCCTGGACCGCGGTGGGACCTGCCCAGGACACCAGTCCACACCTCCTCCATGCAAAATGTCTCAGGCCACACCTGCAGGGGATGGGTGAAGTTCAGAGGACCCCTGCCCATCCCCCCACTCTCTGCTCACCCGAACCCTCCAGACTTGGGTTAATTTTGGGAGAAGGGTGAGGACTGGCACAAGGGTGGGTGAGTGGAGAGACTTGGGGGCCACCAGCCCGGCCTTCTTTTCTGGCTGCCTGGGCATCTGCCACAGGAACTAGGTCTAGTTACAGGAAAACCAACCAAGTCCCAGGTTTTAGGCCCCTGAACTTGGAGGACTGTGGGATTGTGCACCTGCCACTCAGGGGCCAACGTGGCGGCGCTGGTTTCTTAAACACGCCTCTCTTCTGCGGGCGGTACCTGCCTGCTGTCATCCTCCCGACAGCCACGTCGAGCCCAGACAAGCTGAAGCCAGACCCTCGCCCTGCTGCTGGCCGAGCTGTGAGCTGCACACACGACCCCACCTCAGAGCTGCTGGCTCCGTCCCACGGCCACAGTGGGGCCCTACCAGGCCCTCGCCTCAGGATGCCTGTTTTTTCTGCTGTCTGAGCAGCCTTGCCTCCCTGGGCATGCCTGGTTAGCAGGGGCTGGGGTGCAGCCCCCTGGACACGTGGGGCCGAGGGTGACACTCAGAGGGGTCGCTGACCTGGAGCTTCCCGACACAGTGGGCACAGGCGACCTGTTCCCACCTTGGTTTTCCCCTGGTTGTCTCCTTTCCTGATGCGTGAGCTGGTGGTGCTGACGCCCCGGTGAGCAGGAAAAGCTCCTCCTCATTCTGCAGCAGAGTCACACCCCATGCTGAGCATCCCTGACGCCCACCCGCCGGTCCCAGGAGCCAGCGCCTGCGGATGCATTGGTTACAGAGGTAGGGGTTTGCCTAGGGCCACAGGTGCTTGGGCTGTCTGCTTGTGAAGTGCTCTGTCTGAAACCAAGACCTGGAATTTCTATTTTTGCTGCCACAGAAGCTGCATCCACTGCGGCTTGTTTGGAAAATCCAACTCATTTTCCAGCTGGATCTAAATATCTGTGTGTGTTTGGACAGGGCTCTGGAATTTCTAATGGAAAGCCACAGCCAGATCTGTTTCTGTGGCCACTCCACAGGGAGTTACATGTCACCAGAGCCTCGGCGTCTGCTAGAAGATGTGGTGCACTTTGGGGACCTCTGTCTCCCTCTAGCTCTGTCTCCCTCTCTATCTCTGTCTCTGTCTCCCTCTCTGTCTCTGTCTCCCTCTCTGTCTCTGTCCCCCTCTCTATCTCTCTTTCTCTGTCTCCCTCTCTGTCTCTGTCTCCCTCTCTATCTCTCTATCTCCCTCTCTCTCTTTCTCTGTCTCCCTCTCTTTCTCTGTCTCCCTCTCTATCTCTGTCTCCCTCTCTATCTCTCTGTCTCTGTCTCCTTCTCTGTCTCTGTCTTCCTGTCTTTGTCTCCCTCTCTATCTCTCTTTACACCCAGCACACCTGGATTCGAACCCAGACCCAGCCTCTTGCCAGCTGTGTGACCTGGGTGGGGCCAACAGTGCCTGTCAAGCCTGTCAGTGCCTGCTGGGTTCCCAGTGCAGGGCTGGACAATGGCAGAGGCTGCCAGCTCTACCCACTGCCTGTGCACCCCCCAGACTGCTGTGGGGCCGAGGGGAGGCGCGGTGGCCCCAGCTGTGTCTCTGGGGGCAGCTCCCCCAGCGCTGTGCTGACTCTGGACTCAGCCCAGAAGGCAGGGGGTGCACGTCGTCTTCAGCACCTAGAACAGCTCCCGCCTGGATCCACCAGGCTTTGCTGAAAGGAGGATGGTCTTGGGAAGGGAGTCCCTGGGGTCACTGCACCAGGTCCCTTGTCCTAAGGAGGGGGATGAGCCGTTTCCCCAGGTCATGGGGGGAGTGAGCGTGGCGCTTCCTGCCACTGCCTTTGCCCTGTGCAGCCTGGGTGGGTTTTGTGGCTCTGCCTCTCCCTGAGTGCCTCCTCCTTGGCTGACCCTGTCATTCACAATCTGAAGCCATTGCCAACAATAACCAATCTGGGTGGTACCGGGCAGGACTGCGTGGTCTCTGGGGGTTTCCTGGATGACTGTGGAATTGTCAGGGCTGGCCAGGGCCACAGACAGGAACCCACAGCTGCCTGTGCCAGGGTGGAGGGCCTGAGGGGGTGGACAGCGCAAGGCTAATCCTGGGCTTGTCAGGAGATGTGGATGGGATGCATTGCTGTAGAGGAAGGCTCGGAACAAGCTGCCCTCTGGCGGGATCAGTGCAGGGCAGGCGTGTTCCCGTCTGGCAGAACCTCGCGGTATAAAAAGCCGGCTGAACAGGAATCAAGTGATTTTGGGCAGGGATGGAGATGTGAGGGATGGAAAGGGGATCTTTAGCTTCAATCTGTCATCTCCCATCAAGATGAGAGTCTGAACCTGTGTGTGTAGCTGGGTCTGCCACAAGCAATGGTATTACCTGCTGTAACGATGTAACGATGATCACCTGTGGCACTCTGGCATCTTCTCTGGGGGTGAGTCCCGATTTCACCTGCTACAACAAGTAACGATGATCACCTGTGGCGCTCTGTATCTTCTCTGGGGTGAGTCCCGATTTCACCTGCTACAACAATGTAACGATGATCACCTGTGGCGCTCTGGTATCTTCTCTGGGGGTGAGTCCCGATTTCACCTGCTACAACAATGTAACGATGATCACCCGTGGCGCTCTGGTATCTTCTCTGGGGGTGAGTCCCGATTTCACCTGCTACAACAATGTAACGATGATCACCTGTGGCGCTCTGGTATCTTCTCTGGGGGTGAGTCCCGATTTCACCTGCTGTAACGATATGACGATGATCACCTGTGGTGCCGTGGCATCTTCTCTTTGGGGCTGAGTCCCGATTTCACTCAGCTGCCTCAAGAACCTGACATTAGGTTTTTGTTGATCTTTTCTAGCTGGGGCAGGGCCTCTGCTGACCCATAGAGAAATACCCACAAATGCTCACTCCTGGCCACTGGAGTTGAAGAAAGAAGAAAGAAACACGAAAAGCAGCTCAACAAAGACAGGTTTATTTTGGAGAATAAACCCGAGAGGGCCTTCTGGCCTATTTAGGTCCAGAGTGTCCTCTCTTACAGACTAAGGGTATTTGAGGGTTCAGGGAGGGAGAGCTTGTCGCAGGTTCGGAGTGTTTGGGTGGGGGGATTTTTATGGCTGGGTTGGAAGGTTTCGGGTCAGAGGGGAGTCTGTCTTGGGGTTGGCATGTTTCTGGCCAAAGGTGTCATTTGTGGTTTATGGTCACACTGATATTAGACATTAGGTTGATGTTTTTGGGGCTGGATTTTTGGGGGCTTTAATCAAGGAGAACTTCAAATGGTGGTGTGTGTCCAAGACGGCGACGTTCCTGCTCTGTCAATCCAGACTCTATAGTTGAAAAGGGTGAGGTGTGGCATGTTCTTTCTGGCTACTTCCTGCTGAGAGAGAGTCGTCCTTACAGGCCACTGAACGCAGCGTCTGTGGATACATCTAGGAGTGGAAGAGGTGGATTTGTTCCTGGAAACACTCTCTGTTTTAGGGGCTTAGAGGCAGCGTCTGCGGATGCATCTGTCTTCAGCTTACAGGGCTGAAAGCACAGCTTAGGTTTCAGTGATTTCCAGTTAGAAAAGTGGGGAAAAAGGAAAAATTGAAAACATTATTTTGGAGACTTGTAGCCAGAAAAAATTAGACTTTAAATTGTAGAAAATCATAACAATTGAAAAACATCAGACAAGACTGAATTTAACAACAGGTGTGCTATAGTTTTTGAAACATAGTTTTCTCTCTCCAGTTTTCCATTTTTTTAAAAGACACATGATGGGACTGGTTTACTTTATTATACTTGGCTTGATTATTTGTATACAGTGCAGCAAGAATAATTATTTTTTCACTAGGCCTTTTAAATTGTCTTTGATGGAACTTTGTTTTGTAGAAGGAGCCTGGGATAAGACTTTTTAAAGCTGAGCCCAGCCATGGAATTGTACCATTAAATACCTATGAGTTGGGTGAATTCCTCTCCTGTTGAGGTTCCTGGCCTGTCAGAAACTGACATTTTTTACTTACTACAGATCAGAACGCCTGTGCAGGGGCTGTGTACGCAGAACAGGAGGCCAGTTTCCAAGAGCTTTATTGGCTTCATAAGTCAAGTTTGGTTCCTTAAAGGAAAGCACACAAAAAGTCTTATTTTACCAAGACTTTGACCATTCCAGTCAAAGTCTTGGTAAAATAACCAGTTTCTCCAGTTGTGTCCTGTTACGAAACAGATTCTTATTGCACTTATGCAAATAGCTGTATTGCCATAACTTAAGAATAGTCACAAATAGTTTCCAAATTCTAGAGAAAATCAGGTAGAGAGAAACAAGCTCCAAATTTTGTTCATGGGAGTATACTAAATTGTTAAAAGCTGTCAATAGCTCAGAAGAAGTTTCCTTGATTCTGAAAAGCAAGACAAAGGATTAGCAACATTTTAAGCAAAGCGTCTAAAAGATCACTGCAGTCTCCTATTGGTTCAGTTCATGCAGTTAATTCCTGTCCTGCTTGGTATTAATGAACAATATTAGCTCTTCAAGAGTCCTGAACGTTTTTCCTCTATTCTGATGTCACACTCTTCAAAGTTATCAGAAAACCTGCATTCAGGAGCACCTGTTTAGAGCTTCATAGCTGATTATAAAACCATCTTCTAAAGAGGACCAAGACGAGACAACAATTGTTCATGGATGACAAAATGTTTTAGGGTAGCCATAAGGGACACAATTGACAAGGAAATCTGTTACCTCATGGCACACAATAATTTTAACATAACAATGATAATTACTACTGATAATGTACACTAAAATTTTATGAGATTATGAGTCTCCCATAACTTTGGAACACATACCAATAACATATTATATACAATAAGCCCAAAGAAAGCCAAACACCATTGCATATTTGACATTGATGAGCTTCTGACAGCCACATGGTGGCTGCAGCTCGCCCCCAGCCCACACACCGTGGCCCCTGCCCCCACCTCAGCGGGCCCCAGTCCCACCGATGTGCAGCCCCCAGCACCTTCCTCCCCTCGCCTTGAGGAAATTCTGTTTATTCTTCCAGGACTGGTTCAGCCCTTCTTTCTCAGGGTGCAGTGAGGCCTTCCTCATGTGCACACCCAGAGCCCTGGTTTACGCTTTGCTACGGTGGCCGTCAGACGGGGTCAGCTGCTCAAGGGGGAACCTGCCTTACCTGTCTGTTCCTGCAGCACACCGGGCAGCCGCGCCGTGCGATGGGCTCTGTCATGTTTAGTCAATCGAACCAGAGCAATTAGGCAGAAGAGGAGATTTTTAAATTGCCACAGCCTGTAGAGTGTCCAAATAGAAACAAACGGTTGGTTCAGACTCAGGCTAATGCAGCCATGGTTTTCTGCACAGCTTCCTTCTGGGAGCACCTCAACTTTCTTTTAGGCAATCGGCGATAAAATGCCAGGGACGCGGGACGCGGGAAGGGAGGGTATGCACCTGTTTTGTCACGTCTGCGCCTGCAGCACCGGGCTGCGTATCCCGTGGGGACGCTGGAGCATCTGTGACGCTCGTGAATAAGTCAGTGAGCCCAGCACTTCCCTTTCCAGAGGGGGAATGAGGGACCACTAGGGGCAAGTCCAGCCCAGCAGTTCAGAGAATCCTCCGGAAGAACTCAGCATGCCAGCTCTGCTCTGCTCTGCTCTGCTCTGCCTGGGGAGGTGGCAGGGGGCGTACGAGAGCTAGGGCTCCATTCAAGGCCACTCCGAGAACCCATGTGCTGCCCTTGGGTCTGGTGGCCACATCCCCTTCCGCCCCCTCACACAGCCACTGGGGGCCAGAGCTCAGGGAGTCAGCCAGCTTCATACTAACTGCCCAGGCTTTGTTCAGACCTGCCTCTTCTCGTAAACCTAAAATATGTATTTGGAAGTGCACGTGCTTGATGTCTGAGCTCTTAGAACGCTCGTCTGATCTGCTGTGGCAGGTTTCCTTAGAAGAAAGGTGCCAGAAGGTGCAAGAACCCGTCTCTTTCTAACTCACGGGGGGACCGTGCCGGCCTGGGACCCGCCCGAGGATGTACTGACTTTCGTGGATCGCTCTCTGGCCCGCTGCCCCAGCCCTGCTGCCTCATCACTCATGTTTAATGCAAGGCGCCTTTGTGACTGTCTAGCGTGGGCTCCACCAGGAAGCCACCGATTGACAGCTCTTCCTCTGCTGAAGGATAAACACACCCAGATTCGCAGTGAGGGTGCCCACTGTTTAAAAAAAAAAGCTGCACTTTCCTCCGCAAAAGGGCTTGGCCAGCAGCATGGGGCGCCCTGGACCGGCTCTGATGGGGCTTCCTGGGAGGACCCCCAGCAGGCCTGTGGTGTGGAGGGTCAGAAGTGGGGGGGCAGGTGGCCACCACTGGCCATGGCTTGAAAGGTTTGGACCTGCCAGCCCCTACCTGCCACCTTCTGCTGCTGTGGGGCCTGCTGGGAACGCGTCCCACCTGTGAATCCAGTGGGTAGCGTTAGAGCCGTGGCAGATGGGCTGGATTTGGCTGCTGTTTGGGTTGCGGGCGACAATAGGTGTGCAGCCTGGGGCAGAGATGGACACACAGGGCCACGCTGACATCGGGGGAAGAGGCCACGGCAGTTCCACGTGAGGGTCACGGTGGATGAAACTCCTCTCTCCACACTTGGCTCCCTGGGGAGAAGGAAGATAGGGACGCCTCTGCTGGGTGTCTTCATGAGTCTGTGAAGGAGGAGACCACCCTGCTCAGTCAGCTCTGCTCTGACAAGAGCTCGGTGGTCCGGACAAGCACTCCTGCTCGTGCCTGGTGTGCAGGACGGGTCCAAACAGACTTAGGCTTCCCACGTCCCCGTGCAGCACCACAGCCCCGAGCTGCAGGCCCTCCCTCTGCTGTCACCGATGGGTTCTGCTTGTCACTGGGACCTCTTTCCCAAGCCGGCAACTCAGCATCGCATCGGGATGGAACCAAGCGAGGTGCCACCTCGGGGCCACAGTTTTCAGTGGCCATTCAGGAGGTCTGCTCTGCCCAGCATGGTACCGAGCCAGGCACCGAGAAGAGAATGACAGCACGTGCCCCCCCCACCCGTCGGGCATCCACGGGGATGGAGACTCCCTGCCAGTTTTTAGGGTTAGGGCAGGACACCCCGCTTTATAGCAGAGTTTGTAGTGGCAAGAAATTGCCAACTGTTTAAATCTCCATCAGTGTGCACCGGTTCACTAATGCACTATAAACCATTGCTAGCTCCAAGCTCCAAGACCATTAGGTAAGAAAAGCAGATTGTGCAAAAGCAGTGTGTGAAGCTGATCCGATGACTTTAAGGCCTGTGGCAAGCGTGCACATGCGTGGTGTGGTGTCACGAGCACACACATTAGGGTTGTGCATACGACCTGCCATCAGAGTTGCTTCTCAGAGGCACATGCCGAGGGCCCGGGATGGCAAATGCCCTTCCGTGCAGAAGGCGCCTGGGTGGGTCTTGTGGGACAGATGCATGAGGACCACCCACAGGGTGGAGTCTGGCCTGGCCAGGCTGGAGGTCCCAGGACGAAAAGCAGAGGTGAGAAGAGGCAATTCTGCGAAACAGCCTCGACCTCGAGCTGGGACTTTGAACTGGTTTGCACTTGAAAGCCGGGGTTGGTAAAAGCTGGGCACCCACACTCTTCTCCGTTGCAGCTGGTGGCAGCGATTGTGTTCATCAGTTTTGGTGTGGTGGCCGCCTTCTGCTGCGCCATCGTGGACGGTGTATTTGCAGCGCAGCACATTGTGAGTACGTTGTCATTGTGTGCACAGTCTCGGTCGCTTTCCAGGGCTGAAAGACTCGACATGGAAAAAGTAAAATTTCATTTTGCAGAACTCAGCTCAGACGGCTTCATAGTCGGTCTCCTCACTGGGGGGTTGCCAGTGGCTGCCTCTCCTCTCAGCAAGTCTCATTTCCTACACAATGAGCTTCCCTCTCCACACACAGCACACACACCACACAACACACAGAGCACACAGCACACACACCACACAACACATAGAGCACACAGCACACAGAGCACACAGCACACATACAACAGAGCACACAACACATACACCACACAACACAACACGCACAACACACGAGCACACCCCACAACACCACACACAACACAGAGCACACAGCACACACAACAGAGCACACAGCACACACAACACACAACACAGAGCACACAGCACACACAACACACAGAGCACACAACACACACACACCACACAACACACAGAGCACACAGAGCACACAACACACACACCACACAACACACAGAGCACACAACAGAGCACACAACACACAGAGCACACAACACACAACAGAGCACACAGCACACACAACACACACAACACACAGAGCACACAGCACACACAAGACACCAACAACACAACCACAACCACACAACACCACCACACACACCACCACGAGCACACAGCACACACCAGCACACTAGAGCACCAACAGCAACAACACAGCCACACTCAGCAAGCACAAGCACACACAACACAGAGCACACAACACACACACCACACCACACACAGCACACACACCACACAGAGCACACAGCCACACACCACACACACACACACACAGCACACACAACAACACACAGAGCACACAGCACACACACAACACACAGAGCACACACAGCACACACAACACAACACACCAGAGCACACCAGCACACACCACCACACAACACACCAGAGCACACAGAGCACACCAGCACCACACACCACACAACACACCAGAGCACACAACACACACCACACACAACCACAGCAGCACAGCACAGCACACACACACCACACACCACACCAGAGCACCACAAACCACACACACCACAGAAGCACACAGCACACCACCACACAACACACCACACAGAGCACACAGCACCAGCACACCACACACACCACATAGCACACAGAGCACACAGCACACCACACAACACACAGAGCACGGCAACACACACACACCACACCACACACACACAACAGACCAAGCACCAGCACACACACCACACACAACACAGAGACACAACACACAACAGAGCACACAGCACCACACACCACACACACCACACAGAGCACACAGCACAGACACCACACACCACACAGGCACACAGAGCACACAGCACACCACACAACACACAGAGGCACCAGGCAACACACCACACCACCACAACACAGCACACAGCCACACCACACCACACAACACAGAGTACACCAACACACACACAGAGCACACAAGCACACACACCACACACACCACACACAACACACAGAGCACACACAGCACACCAGCACACCCACACACCACACACCACACTCCAGAGCACACACTTTTCACCTCTAAATGAACAGGTTTTCTCTAAAATCTCAGGCTGAGGAATCGTTTCTGTGTCCTCCTGAGTGGGGTCCTCGGCGTCAGGTGGGCGGTGCCTCCCCACCCCCTCCCCAGCTGGGCTCCTGGTGGGCTTCGCCATCTGGGGGTGGGCGGCTTGGTCCCGGGAGCTGCCAAATTGGCTTGTCATGAACTCTCAAACCAAACCTGTGATTGTTTCTCCCTCTTTTTCCATAAATCACACTGAAAGGCACTGAAGGTTGTGTTAGGCCCTTTGTCTGCCCCACACTCACCCTTCATTATATGAAGTGGTAGCACACTCACAAAACACACGTGTGCACAGGCATGCACATACCACGGCTCATACGTGCGCACACGCACACACACCGGCTCTCACACACGCCACACACTCCCGCGGAGGCGCGTTGTGGGAGCTTTCTCATTGGGCGGCTGGGTTACTTGCTATTCCCACGGTTTCCCAGGGTGGCGGTTTCCACTGTGGCTCCCGGTGCCCATGGCTATGGCCCCCGGTGAGGGGCAGGGTCCAGTCCTGACTGCAGTTGGGGGTGTCCCCAGGCTCCAGACCTCGGGGCCTCTCACTCTGGAGGGCCACACGGGGGTTGGTCAGGCAGGCGTGGGAGCCTCTTGGTCAGAAACAAAGGGCCCCTGGCCGGGGCCTCCCAGGGCTGACTTGAGGATGGATGTACAGACGGCATCACCAGAGCTCAGATGCTGTCGAGGGAAACGTGGCACTGCCTTGCGTGCTGCTGAGGAAGAAGACAGATGGGTGAATGACAGCTCCAAGGGTGTCATGTGGGGACGTGCGCACCTTCCAGCTGCTGAGAGAGGCCGAGGACGCCATGCTACTAGGCCTCTGTCCCATGGGTTGTGGCACGCTGCCCTCCTTCCCGGCAGGACCTCTGTCCGTGGGGGTTGTGGCACCCCGCCCCCCTCCTCCCGCCTCCCCGGTGGCAGCCCCCCCCTCCCCTGTCTGTGTGGGGTGTGTGGCACCCCGCCCTCCCTCCCTCCCGGCTGGAGCTCTGTCCATGGGGTTGCCGGCACGCCGCCCCCCTCCCTCCCGGCAGGAGCCTCTGTCCCTTGGGCTACTCATCGTACCTGTGGTCTCGATGTCTGTTCCCTCAGGGGAAGATAAACACCCAGAGGACAGAGACTTGTGTCTGCTTCCTCCATTGCTGTGTCACCCAGAACGTGTCCAGACATAGTAGTTCTTCACCAGTGGTGGCCCAAGGGACAGAGGAGTGATTCTCCTTCTCATCTGTTGCAGTGTTACTAGTGATTTCTAATACTTTTCTTGGATCAGAACTAGGAGCACTTTAAGAAATACTAATAAAACTAAGTGTGGGCCGGGCGCGGTGGCTCAAGCCTGTAATCCCAGCACTTTGGGAGGCCGAGGCGGGCGGATCACGAGGTCAGGAGATCGAGACCATCCTGGCTAACACAATGAAACCCCGTCTCCACTAAAAATACAAAAAAATTAGCCGGGCGTGGTGGCGGCGCCTGTAGTCCCAGCTACTCGGGAGGCTGAGGCAGGAGAATGGCGGGAACCCGGGAGGCGGAGCTTGCAGTGAGCCGAGATCGCGCCACTGCACTCCAGCCTGGGCGACAGAGCGAGACTCCACCTCAAAAAAAAAAAAAACAAAAAAACAAAAAAAAAAACTAAGTGTGGGCAGTGCGACCCTAGCTTATTTACAGGTGATGCAGTTTTGTGGCATTTTAGTTTTGGTACTTCCTGCTGTCCTCTACCGTAGCAATTATAAGCACTTTGCAATGGTCAGTTTATGGGTCTGTCTGCTTCACTAGCCTATAAATCCTTAAGGGCAAGAACTGTATCTTGTTATCCTTACCATTTGGCACTGTGTCTGCTCCATGAATGTTGCAGATGGTGGGATGGATTGATAGTTGGATGGGGCCATAAATGGGTGTATAGCTGAATGGTTGGATGGATGGATGATGGATGGATGGATGGATAGAAGGATGGATAATGGGTGAATGACAGAGGAATAGAGGGAGGTGGATGCAGATGAATGGAAGGATGGATAATGGATGGATGATGGATGGATGGTTGGATGATGGTTGGATGTATGTATGTGGGTGAATGGAAGGATGGATGATGGATATGGATGGATAGAAGGATGATGATGGATGGATACATAGAAGGGGGTAATGGATGTTGGACGAATGGATGGA